AGACTTTCTCAGTTTTACCTTATCTTAATTAACCTGCCCTTCCTTGTTTGTAAAACTGTTCTCACATGGGATCGAGGATTCACAAAGTCTTTGAGAAATTAAAGCAATCTCCCAAAATTCACTAGAAGAAAACTGGAAGAACAACCCAAACTTTGATTACGTAGAGCATCTACAGAAGGCTACCCAGGTAGTAGCTTTCAGTAAGACGAGATTCTGTGAAATTCGCTGGATCAGTTTAGCGCAACATGGATTGCGAGTCCTTCAAAAACTTCATTCTCTCCCGCTGGAGATTATTTTCTTGATATTTATCTAAATCTCTGCTCTTATCAATGATAATCAAAGAGATCTATGATAGCTCCATTACACAGCTCTATCTTCCCCCTAGTGAGAATTGTTATGCATGCGGGACAGGAAAATTTGCTAAGATAGCACAGAGGTTTGTACAAATATCAAGAGGAAGTTGGGCAGATGCAGAGAATTAGTGGAATGAGCGCAAGGGGATGCTGCGGCATGGCTGCTCTTGGAGACTAGAGGACACGTTGCTTCGTCTCGCCATTTCTATGCAAGAGGTAAATCGTAATTTCTCCCATAAATAAAGGGTGTTACAATGATCAATGGGTCAACAGTGTAGTATAATGATGTTAGATAGCGTTTTTTTTTTTGCAAATTTCTGGCTGATAACGCTTCATGGGGCTTACTGTAGAGAAAGGTGCCTCAGACTGCTATTTGTAGGTTAGCCAAAATTAAACTATTTACATATGAAATTTCAGTTTTAACTTTATGTGAAAAATGAAAAAAAAATGATTCGATGTGGCATCATGCAATGGAAAATTTGCTACAGTCGGCTAACGCGCACTGATAGAAAAGTGAACTATGCTAAACTTCTCAGTCCTCAATCTATGTGGCGTATAGGTTCATATCTGGGTAGTTATGTTAAGGAAAAACTAATAAATAACAAGAAAGTAATTCACAGTAAGTCACATAACTCAAATATTTGAATAAGGCTCTGCAAACCTCCCAATTATTCAAATATGTGACTAATCATTACCTAAGTTGAAGATTGGGTTAATCTCGACCATATTAATAGAAGCGCGTCAGAGCGCAATCATAGAATGAGCATTTACTGGGATTCCAGCGATGCAGAGAACGGTATCTAGAGGAGGAGGCACAACCGCTACAGTCATGTTTTACTCATCCAATAAAAAGTGTTTACAAAGTGGTTGATCCCGGTATCGCTCATCAGATCGGTATAAAAGGAGAGCGTGGTAAGGTTGCCTTTATTTAATCTTCTGTGATCGACCGCGACGGCAGAAGCGAAGTTTCTGCTTTGATGGTAGTTGTCAGTTCAAACTGATTCTGTGATCCAACAAAGTCAATTTGAGAAGCCATCCTTCGTGGTTGTGGATGCCAGCGTGAATGTTACAAGAGACGAAAAACGAAAGTTCGGTCGTCATGACAAGAAATACGTGCTTCTACCGTACCATCAAGAATTGTCGTTATACTTGGACCATCATCTTGAACACATCAAACATGGACTTTTGATTTCGGCGATTGTGAACGAGAATAGGCCGGCTCTGCGGAATTATATACATGCGCTGAAGAAGTGAGGCTCATAAAACTTTCTCAGTAATGCAACAGATGCGCAAAGACTAGTCTGCAGTCTACCGTTTTAGATTTGTGGATGCTCACGGATTTCGGTTCGTAAAGGAAGACCACCTCAAGTTTATCAAATTGATGTACCTTATAATGATCAAAAAAGATCAATGGCACGATGTGGTGCATTACGCTGCAAAAGCACTAGAAAAGCTTATTAAGTAAGTTTTGTAAAGAAGAAGGACGATAACACAAAATTGAGATAGACAGCTGGCTGCTATGAAAGTTCTTTGAACTCAAGACGTTTTCCAGAGATCCGTTGCATTATTACTTAACTTCGCGATCAAGATAGCACATTCTTCGTCTGTCTAAAGCGCAGTCAGCTTCTGATGAGAATGAGATGCGAATGAAAGTTGAATAGATCAGTAATCATCGTTTTATCAACTGCCGCTTAATCCGAATAAGTGTAGATCATGAGCGGTGTGTCTATGTCTTGTACAACATTTGTGGTTGTACGGGATATATCTCTTAGAAAGTTAGATATTTTGGTCAACTAAATTTACAAAAACTCACGCTTTTCTGTTTGGGTGTTGAAAATTTGGTCTTTCTTTCATCGCGTCAGAAAGGCGCACAGGATATTTGTCCCAATAGTGGCCGTCCATAGCAGTACAAAAAGAACGACCATCTCATCACGTTTTCACAAAAAAAAATCCTCATATGTAGTGTTTTGCAGTAAGCATGATAACGATTGATAGCTCTTTTTGACTGTCTTAGAACAAATGTACTAATGTCGTGAGAGACGGAGAAACACATACACATATACGCGCACATACGCGCTATATTATATGCTCGCATACCTGGCTTTGCTGGTTATACAGAATCTCTGAGGTATGATCTAAAACCCATCAGACCGCATCATATCCTGTTTAGCTTAGATCTGTATCACGTGAATGCATCCAATATTATTGAGACTATTATACTTAAAGAGAAA